CACAGCAGCAGCCACACCCTCAAATCTGAGGCTGGCTTCGAGGAGAAAAAAGGTTTGTCAGCACAATAAGGCTTCTGTGTTCTCAGGGCTTGTGAAGTGGCGCTTGATGTTATGTTTTCATTTGCATAGACTGTGTTATAAAGCAGGCAGCCGTGGAGTCACGTGGCTTTGAATCATTTCAGAGATGCTTCTGGCCTTCAGGTTTCAATATGACAAATGTGAGAAGCAAAGATGTTAAATTTTATAAAACAGTGCTATGACTGAAACCGACTGAGAGCATTGTAAGATTGCCAAAAAGGAGTATGCCTTGTTTGAAACCGTCTCTCAGTGGGATGCTGAGAGAAGCACTACTATTTGATTCACTTTAAAAATAAAGATAAAAAGTGTTCTTGTTTGGGGTGGGGTTTTTTTTGGTTCTGATTACAGTTTTTCACTTTGAGGAAACCACAAATTAGAAGGAAGTTCAGTATCTTCCTGTGACAGTCAGTACTGGTTTGGAAGTCATGGCATCTCACAGAATTAGTGATTGATCACTTGATCTCTTGAATTCTTTGCTACCACATGAAAAATACACACCTGTGTGGCTTTTGATGGCTAGCAGATGTTACCAACATAGTGTACACTGTACAAGCAAACTTCAAGCTCACTGTGTTTTCTGAGAATAGCAGATTGTTCCCATTTTTGAGCCATCTCATGCAAAATTCACTATCTGAAGGTACAAGTGTTGCAATACAATATGCAGTCATCGCGTGTATTTGCAATTAGAGACTAAACTGCCAGACAGTTACCTGTAAATGATTCTTCCCTCTAACAAGTTTCCTAGAAAACATTCTGTCTCATAATAGCCATTTAAAGGTGCAGGTGTTTGAATGATAATTTTGTTGATTGTTCAAAAAGGATGAATGTTTGATGATTGTTTGAAAAGAGCAGAGCCTGTGGCTGGTTATCCTCTAGGAACTATAATGTCTATTAGTGATTCAAAGTACCTTCTATTGACTTCAGGGAGCTTTGGATGAAGTTTGTGTTGTCTTCAGCTGTGACCCTGCCACAATTACTGGAGAAATTATTAGAAATGCATTCAAGACCTGTATGGCATAAAAGTTTCTCCACAATTGTGTGTCAGATGGGACAGTTACTTCTGTGAAGACAGCTGGGTACCCACCTAAGAAGGGTGAGCTGGATAAATTGATGCTCAACCTCATTTTGTGTGTCCTTGACATATTGGCAGACCAGACAAGCACACAGCCTTATGATCTGCCTGGTAGTCTAAGATGAGTGCAATAAGATGTCTCTACCTATTTAGATGAGGAAAAGCTTGGGTTTGGGTTTGGGGTTGTTTTGAAGATAGTTATGACAATTACTTGAAACCAGTTCTCAGCTTTTCAGGGAGTAGTCCAATCCACTGGGATGTTACCTGAGTGGGAGAAAGCCTCCAAGCATGCAGTCCTGCTGGAAAGTGCTGGTGGCCAGTCTCTAACTATCCTATTTTTCTTAGACAATGCTGACTTAGCTTTTCCTTCACATGTTACTGTGCAACAGGCATAATGCAGAATTGAGTTATTTTTGCAAAGACAGTATTAACTTTCTGCATCCTTGACTCTGTTAAGCTACATTTTCCTTCAGTTCCAGTTGGGGTTTTTTTTTCCATTCTCCCTTTTCCCTATGGTGTCACATAGCTTTCCTTTATTGAAGCTGCCTCTTTACTGCATTTTGAACATGGGAGAATGGACTATGGTAGGGAGGAGGAACCCTAATATGCCAATATACTCTAGCAAAAATGTCATTCCAGTATTTTAGAAGCTACATAAATGCAATATAATGTTATATTTTAAAATTACAATAATTATGTTCTTTTCTCTGGCCACAGCATATTCTTCTGGGGATCCACCTGGGCCAAACACAAGAGATGCAGAGGCATCTGTCATAATCTACACTCTTCTAGATAAGAAATTGTTGTTGTGTGAATGTAACTTAATTTTTTTTGCCTGCAGTGACAGGTTTCTATATCTCAACCTCTTTGATGAGTACTAATCTGTTTCCTTTCTTTTTTTTTTCTGGAGTGTTAAAAACTTTGCTCTCATTGCTCCCTCCAGGCATGGCTTAGCAGCTATCCAAAAACTACAAGTTTACTGTATAGAATCTGCTCCAGGTAGGTCTGAAATACAGACACTACAGCTAGGTAGATGCAGGCTCTCAGAGGATCATGTGTACTCTTTGAGTGCTAAAATGGGATTCTACAGACTTCATGAAATGCAGTTACAAGTGCTCAAGTGGCTTGGCACTTGGAGGGCTGATCTGAACATGATTCAAGCAGTAGTGATTGCTAAGGAGCTCAGCATGGCCACTTGGAGGGAGATTCTCTGGTCACTCAACAGTGACTTGCCCAACTGATTCATGAGGACTGAGAAGTAGCTTTCAAAACGTATCCAGCTGTCTTCAGCCAGGACATTAGCCACTGGAACTGAGAGTGGGAGTTCATTTCTGGAGGAATTAGGGGCATTCTCAGAAGTAAAGTTGTTTGATTTTTCCTGAAGCCAAAACACAATTCTATTTAAATATTTTGCTTACCCTTGCTATCCAAAATGTCCTGTTCATTCCCAACCACACACCAAAAGGCAATTGATCACACGTGGCCTTGCCTGATTAGTTCTGCAGTAAAATGACTGAGTGTTGCAACATTTGGACTGACATGCTGCCATGTACTGCCTTTGAACTGAGGAGAATGAAAGTGCAAACAGTTGGTGCTTTGAACATTGAACCATTTCATGTCTGTGCTCATCAACAATGCAGAGTGTCAATGGATGTTGTTATTGCCTGAAAGCTGCTGATTTGTCTGAAGGAGAGGATCTACATGCTCCCGTTTCCTCTAAAGCATTCTAATGATGAAGAGTAACATGCAGAGACACGGATTTATGCAAATCTTACTTCAAAGAAGTCTTGCGTGCTAACCTCATGAAGCAGACTCCCCTTCTGCAGTCACACGTGCTGTATGAATAAATAATTGATCCTACTGCAGAGCTCAGTGAGGTTTACAGAACCCAGATCCACAGGGAAAATAGGTTTGTCCATGGTGCCTTGTTCATGCTTGGGATTCAGCCATCTATCCCTAGCAAGAGGTGATTCTGCACTAACATAAATCCCAAGGGCTGGCAAAGAAAACTGCAATTTACATCCATTGGGCAGATCCTATTTGCTGGCAGGAATTGATTCAAATTGGTGTGAATTGTAGGTTTTCCTTGTCCATGTTTTGGGTTTCTGTTACAGCAGATGACACTGCTTGCTGGTGGTTGAACAAGGGCTAATTCCAAATACAGACAAGGCCTGAGGTGACGTACCAGGTCTCCAGGAAATGAAGTGCTGAATATATCTCTGTAAAGCATCTTTACTGCCTGATTGAGAGAGCTGCATTGGCGGTGGCTTTGGAGGGAGCCTCTGGTCCCACATTCCTTGGTTGAAGAAAAGACGCTGCAATACAAGCTGGCAGCAAAGGGTTGGGAGGGAGGGGAGGGCCAGGATCTCTTTCTTTTTTAAATGGGGAAAAATTAAGGGGAAAAAAGTCCTCTTTTATTCTTTTAATACAGTTCCCAGCAGGAAGATCAGGATAGGAGGCTCCCGCTTGCTCCAGATTAAAGGAACCCGCAGTTTCCGGGTGAAGAAGGGGGGTTCCCTTTCCAGCATTCGCCGGGCCGGCAGCCTAAAGAGCACCAAGTTATCACGGCAGGACTCAGAGTCTGAGAATGAGGAGCTGCAGCTGTCCCACAGCAGGGACACTGTCACTGATATAGGTAACTTAGATGAGTGGGTGGAAAGGGAGGGGACATTAGACAGGACCTAAACTCTTGACGTGATTGCAGCACAGCTAGAAATGACAAGAGATCCCCACCCCAGCAGGCTAGGAAAAATCTAGTCTTCTTCAGGGACTGCCTGGACTAGGGCCTGGCAGGAACATGGTCCAAATCCTGTGTGCAGCGTCAGCTCCGTGAACAGATTGTCAATTCAGCGCTCCGTGTTAGAGCACGAACTCTTGGAATGCTGGTGCCTGCCAGCCAAATGCTTGCTGTCTTTAGGGGAGCACATGCACGTGTGTATATGCACATACACACACCCCTAAATCATATGGTATTATGAATACATGAGGTCATATGCGTATATGATATTTTATTGTCCATAGCAACAGATTTGTGAGATATATATGTATATATATGTATGGACATGTACTTCATATTCTGTGTTGGATATGATGCTATAGCCATGTCATATGACATGTAAAATATATATTCCTATATGTAGAACATAACATCTACATGCTGCATACTATACTTCTACATATTGGCATATACATGTATTTTTTACAGTCTACTGCCTTCCTTAGTCCTAGAAGGATGGAACACCTTAAATTTATCCTATGAAAATGAATTGAACATCCTGCCATGGGAAATGTCCATCACAGTTGAAATAAAGGAGCTTCCTCTGTTAAGAGCATTAACCGAAAACTATGGATACAGTTGGAGCTGAAATAACCTCCCACGCTTAATGGCCATTTTTATGTTGCACAAAAGATGCTTCAGTAGGTGAACATGGAGAATAGGATTGCCCATTCTATAGACTTTGGCAGGTCACAGTTCACTTAAAGAGGAGAAAGAAAGGATAAACCAGAATTCATCTCTAGGCATCTAACATTAATGTTAGTTTTATAGGAGGCCCATAGGGTATGAAATGGCTAGAGGAAACACAGAGATCAGTGAAGTTCCCAGGGAAATCCCTCCCTTGGCTGAGTTCTTCAGAACTAGTGTGCTAGAATCAGGATTTTTTTCCCCTTTCATCCCCATGACATTAGCACTTTCCATGGGCAATTAGCAATGTCTATGCCCATTGGCATTTCAGTTGGATGCCACTTCTGGTGGGCTTTTTGTTTACATTTTTAACCACAGAGCCCAGTCAATGCAGATCACTAAACCAACCACTTGCAGCATCTGAATAGTGCAAAGAATTTGTTTCTGATGGTTTTTGATTATTCTTTTCCCTTCCATCAAAGAAAAAAGCAGGGAGGGAACAATGTTTGCTACTGACAAGGTGGCCTGTGGGCCATGTCAAAATAGTTCTTGTAAGTGTCAAGCCAGCAAGATACAAGGATTGGGGAGGGGTGTCCAAACAGTCTTTCCAGTGTGACATATTCCGTCTGTTCCCACAAGGCTGGCCTGGCTTACAAGTGCTGTCCCTAGTCTTAAAGTACATAGGGAGCAATAAAACAACCACCTTTTGGGTATTTTTCTTTTGAAGAAGGGAGCCCCTGGAGTGCGAGTGAGCCCAGCATTGAACCTGAGGTGCTGAGCAACACAGGCACAGAGGAGAACTATCACCGGAACATGTCGTGGCTGCATGTAAGTACGAGTCACTGGCAGTGATCTTCAAGGATGACATTTTCAGTAGGAAAACCTTTGTGCTGGCAATAACCAGATCCCAGTCTGTGCTTTCTTCATATAGCATCAAGGATGTCAAGTGTAAGTAAGCTGCAACCTTTGGAAATTGTCTGTTTGCCATTTCTAAAAAGGACTGAAACCAGAAAGTTTTTGTCTTGCTTCCTCTTCTATTTAATATATTTAATTTTTAAGGGAAAAGGGACTATTTATCTCTAGGTGTGCAGGGAGAGCCATGCTACCTCAGCTGAAAAAATCCATCAGCTTAGTATTTTATGCCCAGCATGGCTAGTAGTGGATAGTTCAGGGAGAGCAACAGAATGGGCTACAGTGTGAGCTGAGCTCTCAGCTTCTGGGACATGGCAGTTTAGAAGCTACCTGTATAACCCAACAGGGTCTTACATAGTTTTGACTCTATTCAACAGACAGGGAGTACAATGGTGCAGATGTGGTTTGGTGATGCAGGGTCTAAAACACCCATTTTGGCAATCTCTGTACCCATGATTTAGACATGCCAAAAGTGAATTGGCTTAACCTAACACTTTGATGTCAGGAGCAGTTCTTAATAGTTGTCTTTTTTTGGAAGAGGGTGGCAGAGAAGGGAACTTCAATGTCATGTCTTCCAAGCGAGTACCTCAATAACCCCGCTTCTCTGTCATGCTCTTGGTAATGATTAGACTTCATTTAGAAATTCCAGTGTAGTAAACTGAATATGTTAGACATGTGCTGAATACCTAGAGGATGAGGGAATCTTCCCTAGTTAGCAGCTTAGGATAAATCATGGTGCCTTTGCTCAGTGTGGGAGGATGCATGGACTCATGAATGCTGAAGGAGACTCGAGATGTTTTCCTCACTTTATATGTGATTAGCCTGCATAGGAGGAAGGAAGATTTGAAAAATCATCTGCTCCAGTTAATGCCATGCAAGTACCACTATCACATGAGAACTTTGGTTTTTTTGTTTGTTAGAAAGAATATGTGGGGGGATGGCCACTAACACTACAGGAAAAACAAAAGTCTGCTTTACTTGATGGTCACAAGCAAGCCAATCAAAAGGATCACTGGTTCCAATTGCAGCTAGAAGACACCAGCATTTCCTTTACCTGTCCTTTGCAGCAGCCTGGAGTATGATGTCCTCACTCTGCGTCAGTGTGCCATAACTGCAAGTTGTAAAAGTGAACCAGAGGCTGGGTAAAGGCTCTACAAGGCTGATCAGGCTTATACCATTTGCATATTGATACAACACTAATGGCTTGAGCTATTCCTGATAGACCCCATAACAACATGAGGCCAGAACAGGCAGGCAAAGACAAGAACCCCACATACATGGCACAGATGGTCTTTCAAATTAAGCTTCTGAGTTTTTAGAAGCTCAAGTATTTTAAGGTTGAGAATGATGCGGCAGCCTTATTTGAGAGAGCCAGCAGCCTCCAGCTGTACAGATCATAAGTGGATGGAAAAGGTGGGATAGCTTCTTTCTGGTAGTTTTGCATTAGGTTGTGGGGTGAAGAGAAGAATTCACAAAGGCCACTTAAGACCTACAGTGTGAATGGCTTGGGGGTGACTGTGTGTTTTCCTCAGATTGCTACTGACAAGCTGGGTTTGTGTGTAGCATGAAGACCAATGCACAAAGAGCTGCTGGACTGTGAGTTTTGCTCTCTGGGAAGAAACATTCTGAGTTACACCAGAGAGCAGACACTCAGGTGTAGACTTACCAAGGCTGTCTTTAATTAATTAGTAGTGTTGGTGCAGCAAAGCAGGGCTCAGAATTGCTAATGCCCAAATATTTATTCTGGTTTCTAGATGTGTTTTAGAGCTTCTTGCTGCTATATGACAAGACCAGTAGAAATAGTAACTGAGCCAGCTAACACAGAGCTGGGCTGGATGGGTCTACCCCAAGCACAGTGAGGGATTCACATGAAGAACAACTCACACAACTTATTCCTGCTTGAGAGCATACTGAGACATTTCCTCTTGCATTCCTTGAAGGAAACTAACCCCTGAACCTAATGGGTTTGCAGCTTTAATGACAATTTACTAGTTGAGAGTTTCCAGCCCAAGCCCCTATCTCAGAGTGGTGATACAACAGCTTTTCTACAAACTGAGAGAATGATGTTTTCCTCAGCCTGAATTTTGCCACCAGCCAAACATACACATCTGCAGCAGCTCTGTCTCTGCTTTGTTAATGCTAATGTTTTTTAGCCATGCCTAGCTAGTTTGCAAACCCCTTGTAAGTATGGAGCTCTGCACAGACACACATACCTTTTAAAAAAGCTATGTTGAGCTTCACACCTTCCCAGTTCAGCTGTGGAAGAGTTAGCTTGACTGTCCCCATCACTGGCTGCCCTATGCAGCTCTCCATGTAACTCCCTTTTCTACAGGTAACTATTCTCTTTTTCCAGGTTATGATCCTACTATGCAACCAGCAAAGTTTCATATGTACCCATATTGACTACTGTCACCCACACTGCTACCTCCACCACAGCCGGTCCTGTGCGCGCCTCGTCCGGGCCATCAAGCTCCTGTATGGGGACACAGTCGACTCCCTGCGAGAAAACAGCACATTGAACAATGCACCAAGAGGCAAAAAACAAAAGGAAGTGAGTAATTGGAAAAAGCAGAATGTTTTGGGATTTGTCTGGGCAGGTCATAATTACCTTCAAAGTCTGCCTAATGTACTCATACATTTCTTTCATGACAAAATGAACACAGCCCTTCCTAAACATAGCTTTGCTGTAAAGAAACCAAAACTATTAAGTCATTTAGCATAATGGAAGGAACATAACCTGTATTGATTGCGAAGAATCTTAGTTGCTGATAAGATCATTTAAAAGCTTATAAACCAACTTTGGATGTTCTTTAATGGCCTGTACTTATAAGCCTGTGGAGTCCAGTCTCTTTTTTTTTTCATGTTCTTTTGTCATCTGTTGGTAAAAATTACTCTGAAAATTCTTGTAAAATATTGTGTAATTTCTTTCAGGTCTGAGCTGTCAGAGCTGTAGCAAGAATTGTATACATTAATCTTTAATGTTACAGCCTCTTTAATGAGACTCTTAATGAGCAATTCAGCAGAATTTGCAGAGAGTATTGTGCTTTTTTAGCCTAATAAGTGGTGCCTTTAACTTCAGTAGAAACACACTTTTAGTGAAGTGCCCACCCAGGCACCAACTGAATCATGTCAACAGCTGGTTAATACTTTCATATTCCTGACCACAGCAGACAGACTACAGTTATTCTGAATACTTGTAATGGCAGAATCATTCAACTGCTCTGCAGTAACATTGAAAACAAAAGTGTTCATGAAAGTCTCATGAAGGTTTCAGTTTGGTAAGGAGGCTATCATCCCTGGAAGTGGCAAATGAAGGAGTAGGAGACAAATTCATAACGTTTCTTCATCAACCAGCAGATTGTTTGTTTCCTGTCAAGTTAGAAAATTGAAGGGTATTTGTATGGAAGAAAGCACAGAGCAGATGAAACAGCAGCTAATGTTTCTCCTTTCCCAAATACTGTAACACCCATATATTTCCTCTGGCACAGAAAACTAGTGTATCACTTAGTAATTTAGAAAGAGAGGCAGTCATTTCCTCCACAGAAGGCAGGCTGGAGATGAGCAGCTGGCAGTGTTCATGAAAGGTAGAAAAAGAACATTGTGCATTACTGTGCGTTGTTTCATCTCCAGCTTTGAACTACAAGACAAAAAGGTACACATTTCATCATCCATCAAACCATCAGAGCCTTTAAGCAACAGCAAGGAAAAAAGTTTGGGAAACAGTAAGGTTGTTACAAACACACGTACGATGTTTGTACAGATCTCACTGCAGGAGAGTTAATTAATAATTTTTGCTTTTCTTGATAGCCCTCCCTGCAAGAAAGACATTGAAGTGTCCAGTGAAGGGCAACTGAGCTGGGGAAGGGTCTGGAACACAAGTCCTATGAGGAGTGGCTGAGGGAACTGGTGGGGCTAAGCCTGGAGAAAAGGAGGCTCAGGGGACACTTTGTATCTCTACAACTACCAGAAAGGAGGTTGTAGCCAGGTGGGGTCAGCCTCTTCTCCCAGGTAACTCACAACAGGACAAGAGGGCATAGCCTCAAGCTGCACCAGAGGAGGTTCAGGTTGGATAGCAGGAAGAAATTAATCACAGAAAGGGTGGTCAGGCGTTGGCACAGGCCGCTCAGGGAGGTGGTGGAGTCACCACCCCTGGAGGGATTTAAAAGACATGTGGACGTGGCACTTGGGGACACAGTTTACTGGTGGACTCAGCAGTTTTAGATTAATGTTTGGATAATATTGATGACCTTACAGGTCTTTTCCAACCTCAGTGATCCTATGAATCTATGAGAAATCTATGAGTTTTACTCACTAAACACTTCCACTGGTAATGTTTTAGAGGGAAACTGTAGACTTTTTGCCTCTAACCTGCTTAACAAAAAGATGAATGTGACACCTACGAGGATTACACAGAGCACATTTACATACTTCATTTGGTTTCCTAGCTTTTGCCTTAAGATTTTACTGGGAAAAGCACTGTTAAAAACAGAAGAAAAATGGATGAGATTATGTCCTCTCACTGATACCAGGCCTGTTGCCAGCAAAGAAGGCTTTGTGCTACAGTTCTGATACCAGATGGTTTCTAGTGTATAGAAATTTCTCTTGTACATGATCTCCTTTTCCACATTTTGGGAAATCTAAATGTAAACTCCACTTTCTTTTTATTTCCTTCCAGTGCTCAGACAAGTCATGCTTAAGAACTCCTTCTCTAAAAAAGAGAGTGATCGATATCAACTTGGAAGGGAAGAAGGACTCTGGAATGCTAAAATACATCAGGCACCAGGTACTGACTAGGCTATATGATAGTTAGGGTGGCTGATAGATAGATGGCAGGTTAGACTGCAACAAGAAGGAACATGTATATGGATCTCCAGGCTGATGTGAAGAACTGTTCCTGAATATCAATCAGTTCAGCCCTGCATGTTTCCCAAGCCTCTTTAACACAATCAAAGAATCCTTTAAACATGTAGCTCCATTAAATTGCAGTCTCTGGCTTTCCATAGTGACACTTGCAGCAAAGCTGGGGATATGAAGAAAACAAAAAAAAAAAAACTCTTTAAAAATATTTAAAAAGCCACAGATGTGTTTAAGTACGACCTGTCACTTTACAGCAATAGTTTGCTTTGGTCTTACTTGTTTAGTGTTCCTGAAGAAGTTACAAAGGCCTATTCTTAGTGAGATTTTCATGGATGTGTATCACTGTTTGTGCACCACCTTGGGAGATTTTGGCTTTCCTTTCGTCCTCTTTATCAGTGTTTTGGTGATGAGACCGACAAGAAAAAGACTCCAGGAACTAGCTTGCAAACACTGCTCTTTCAGTGTAGCCTGCAAGCAACGTTCTTCTGTGGAGCATTATATGAAATGGCTGAACCTAGAGGTTATTGATGGGTAATCTGCAGACCAAAACTAGGGTTAAATTAGTGAGTGTGTTGTTCCCTGTAGATAGTTTGCACAGCTCAGCCCTCAGGCATGGCTTGGTTTGTTGCAGGTAATGAGCCTCTCGCCTGCACCTTTGTCACTGCTAATCAAGGCAGCTCCTATCCTCACAGAAGAGATGTATGGGGACATCCAGCCAGCAGCGTGGGAGCTCCTGCTCAGTGTGGATGAACACATGGCTGGAGCAGCAGGTAAGAGAACAAAACCACTTTGGATATCTACCCTGGTTGCACAACTCACAGTAGATCACAGGACTTAGCAAGACATCTTTGTAATGGATCACAGAGTTTCTTGGGGGTTGTTTATTTTCATAGACCTTCATGCTCACCTCTGTACAAAACAGGTGGTCAGAAGGATCAGGAGGGCAATCTATCAGACCCTGGTTGTGTTGTATGGATAGAGAGCATCAAAATTGGTATTTGTGTTCAGATGGGTTTCTAGGCAGATGAAACAGATTCAATGTAATGAGTTTACTGAAGTATTTTGTATGTTGCCTCATTGAACTTGTTAGTACCAGCTGAGGGCTGATACAAAATCTGAGAAAGGAAATGAGAGGGGAACTGTCACAGCTCCTCTGTTGTACTGAAAGGAAAATTCTCATGTTGCATGGAGACTGCAGCAATGCTCAGTAAGTAGTCTTATGGCCTGGTATTTATCTGAATTTTCCATTTCCATTTGGTTTTAAATTGTGCAGATGTTGATGACATGTAGTTGAGAGGCATCTTTACAACAGAAGACATTGTATACCTGTGAGAATATATTACCTTGAAAAAGAAATCCCAGACATGGGATGAAATGTATTGCTACAGACTAGTAATAAATATATAAGAATAAAGAAATATATAATATGATTTTTTTTTTATGAGCTTGAACCTTATTTCATGGAAATGATTTAGATTCAGACTGTCTCAGGTCTTCTCTATACTCTCCCTTTCACCTTTGCCTTTCCCAGGTCAAATGTGCAGACAAGAGGAGAAGGAAGCAAAATACCAAAGAGAAATAAGCTACCTGAATCAGTACTCCTTTCTCCCCTTCAAGTCTCTTTCTGGGGGAATAATTTTGTATACTCTTTGAACCCAATGATCCTAAAGGTCTTTTTCAACCATAATGATTCTATGATTCTAATAAAAAAATTGCATGGCTCTAAGGGAATGGGACCAAATTCTGCTGCTCTTCCAAAGCAGCCTCTGAGATACATCTTCCTCTTTCTACCTATCCTGACGGGAAGAATAAAATCCATTTTGAGGGTCTGTAGTAGCTTTTTTTTTTACTAGAGAGTGATTTCGGCCCCAGCATAAATTACATTCATCAAGGTCAACCCCTGAAAACCCCTGAATGTTGCTAACCAGAAGCTGGAGAAAATCCCTCTTTCGTTAATGTACCACAGCACCATCTACTGACCTCTCCCAAGGCTGTATTTGTTGATTGCTCCAGCATCAGCCCATACTTAACATCAGTCCTACTAGGACTTGGCACAGTTATACTGAAAAGACCAGAGAGCAGAAAGTTCTCTGATCTGGTGAAACTGGAAAGTCCTTACAGCACTGGGAGCCTTTGTAGGGCAGGACAGGACCTAGGCAGTCAGAGAGTAGTCTTGTTTTCCTGCAGCGTTTAGGCAGACTCCCATCAGCACAGCTCTCGTGGCTGGCACCTGCTGAAATGTGTTAAGGCAAACAGGATGGCAAATGTCCTCTTTCTACTGTGGAGGAACACCCACCAAATCTAGAGAAATTGTCTCCAGTGCTCTGTGGTGAGTTACTGGTCAAAGAAGCCAAGGATTCTCTGACACCCACTGAACTCCCACAGCAATCCTGTCCCCTCAGAACTGTCTCCTGCATAATGCCCCTCAGACACCATTTACAGTAATTGGCCTCCATCAGCCTGGAGTTTAACTAATGTCTGTCTATATTCAAATATAATCCATTGAAACAACTATGAGTTGTTGGAGTGGGATCCGGACCTGGAGTAACGATGAGTCTCAATATGAGTATGGTCGTTCTCCTTTATTCTTAGTACTTACAAGATATATATAGACATTTACACAGAGTACGCGAGCGCAGCGGATACATGATTGGTTTATTGCCCTTGTCCCAGTGTCCAGGTTAAACTTATGATTGGAGCAAGCAGATGTCTGTCCACATTCCAGGATGTTTTCAGGAATACCAGGGAGCTTGTTGACACCGGACTCAGAGCCGGTCAGAGCCAGCTCTGCCAGGCAGAGCTCGCTCCTTATCAGCAGTTCAAGGCTAAGTCACAGCTGCTGTAGGCCTCACACCACACTACCAGCTGGGTTGTCAGCTTCAAGAAGATCATGTCCCTTTTCGCATAGCCATTCCTCCACAATGAGTCAGCTCAACTTCTGCTGTGCTGTTTTCCAACGTGAGCTGGTCCTTTGCCTTGCAATTCATAGTAATTCTGTTTTCTCTCTGAGGCAGATTATGATCATTGCACAGAGCCCATTGAACTAAGAACTTTTCTTTTTGATTTCACCCATGAAAATAGGCAGGTGACCTCTACTGGGGCACTGTCTTCTGCTCCAAGGGGAAAGCAGAGCTTCTGTTACACCAGCCTTATTAATCGACACAGAAATCACTTGGAATTGAAATCTTTGAAAGCCAAATTCAATTAGACCTGTTACTTCAAGAGATGCTTCTTGGTTTCAACTAGTCATGACTGAGATTGTTATTGAGAATCATAGAATCAACAGGATTGGAAGAGACCTCAAAGATCATTGAGTCCAACCCTACCATGGTTACTAGCCCACTAAGTGCCACATCCAGTCTCATCCTGAAAACCTCCAGGGATGGTGAATCCACCACCTCCCTGGGCAGCACATTCCAATGTCTGATTACTGTCTCTGTAAAAAATCTCTTCCTAATATCCAACCTAAAACCTCCCCTGGCAGAGCTTGAGTCTGTGCCCTCTTGTCCTCCTGCTGGTTGCCTGGGAGAAGAGACCAACCCCCACCTGACTCCAACCTCCTTTCAGGGACTTGTAGAGGGTGATAAGGTCACCCCTGAGCCTCCTCTTCTCCAGGCTAGAAGATCAAAGGTGTATTTTGTTTTAAAAGCAGGCTTTCCAGAAGGATTTACAAGCTTCTCATGTAATGCTGTGTGGCTCCAAAAGGTGGAATCACACATGAAGCAGAACAGCTTTTGCTAGGCCTGGTAGAATCCTGATCTCATTTCTGTGGCCAAGATTGGGTTTCTTTAGGTGGGGGGGTGTGCAGCTGTGGTTTTTCTTTGTCAAATAAACACATTATTAAGAAAAACAGATGATCAGATGTTCTCTCCCTGCAGCTGCCATGTTCCTGCTGTGTGCTGTCAAAGTGCCAGAGGCTGTTTCTGACATGCTGATGTCCGAATTTCATCATCCAGAGACCGTGCAAAGACTGAATGCCATTCTCAAATTCCACACACTCTGGAGGTTTAGGTACCAAGTGTGGCCAAGGATGGAAGAGGGAGCACAGCAGATATTTAAGGTACATAGAACACATGAAGCACAATGGTGACATTTACTTCTCACCTTGTGGGATATATGTGTAATGACACACTGCAGTGAAGTTACCTGAAACTTTGTTTGGAGAAAAAAATGGTTGTGTAAGTCACACTAGTGGGGGAGGTGATGTGTAGAGCTGTATAAAATGAGGAGATTATAAATGGAGACTCAAATCAGGAAGGATATCAGAGAAAGAAGTGTCTGTCATACATGGTGTTACAATCCAGTGAGATATGGAGGTGGGAAAAATTTGCAGAGTTGATTAATATCTTGGGCTCATGTTTAATTAACAATACTGACAGTATTAGTCTGCTGTAACAAAATATCTTTCATGTCTTTGTTTAGATCCCTCCTCCAAGTATAAACTTCACTCTGCCTTCTCCTGTGCTGGGTATGCCATCTGTGCCAATGTTTGACCCTCCCTGGGTCCCTCAGTGCAGTGGGAGTGTGCAAGATCCTATAAATGAAGATCAGTCGGTAAGCAGACATCATGAGAGTAATCACTGCTTTTTCTCTGTAGTGGTATGCGGGAAGTTAAGCCAAAAGATGTGGACTAAACTCTGAGATTTTCTTTCCCAGCTGGGAAAAAAGTCTAGTACAGTCTGTGCAGGACACACATGGGCATAAGGCTTTTCTATTTGTTCAGTGAGGTACTGTGCTGCACCTCATATTCCTGTGGGAGACAGTAACTCAGATCTTAGGAGCACACAGCTGTTCTCTCTCCAAGAGAAGAATGGTTTACTTGAACTGCCTGACAGACCATTTTCTCTGCACTCAGTCATGTGGTATCTCCTGAGAGAAGTCTGCATCAAGGTTTATTGTAGACATATCTCCAAGAAGAGTCGCCTGGTGAATCTCTGTTCAGCTGGCATGAGTCTGATTTGTCTAGAAACTGAGCTCCTGAATGTCACTGAGGTCTCTGTCAGAAAATCAGGGGGTGTGCATCTTAACTAACAGCTTCAGGCTGTGTCTCTTCTCTTTTCTTTCCAACAGAAGTCATTTTCAGCCCGAGCTGTGTCACGTTCCCATCAGCGAGCAGAGCACATCCTGAAGAACCTGCAGCAGGAGGAAGAGAAGAAACGCCTGGGCCGGGAAGCCAGTCTCATCACTGCCATCCCCATCACTCAGGAGGCCTGTTATGAGCCATCTTGCACACCAAGCTCAGAGCAGGAAGAAGAAGGTGTGCTCTGGGGCCAGGAACTGCATTCCAGGAACCTGAGAGCACTTCCCACCAACACAGAGCACTGCTTAGGGGGGCGATGTTCGTGTTAGAAATGTCACAACCACATCCATTTGTTGAAGAGTCCAAGTCATTAAGAAAAAGTGTATTTAAAAAATAGTGCAAGAAAAACACAGAACCTCAGATGTATTGAGTGCTCAGTGTGTGATGAAGCCCCTTAACCCATCTCCCCCCACTGAGTTGGAACTTGCCATCATTCAGCATCTCAAAGATGACAGTATCTTGCAGGATTTAACACACTGAGAATATGCAATGCTAGGAATGAAATATGTCTTTCCTAATTTTAACTCTTAATTGACTAAAGGGTGTGAGGTATCACCCAGTGGCAGTATCTATCTTGAAACACATAGCTTAGGATATGCTGAACTGCCCCTGGAGTTTTCTACCTTTATGGTGACTAGTGGGGAAGCTCAGATGACCAGCTCAACCTCAGTACCAAACACTCAGACAGTGAAAGTTACATGACATGAGACATGAAAAGGTTAGTCTTTGGGTGAGGATTCTTACTCATCGAGGCTAATAGAGCATAAAGACTTCATTAAAGACATTCCAAGGCATGTGCCATTAGACAAGTACAGGGATGTTCAGATCTAAGGTTACATTGGGAAATCTGTGAACAGAAATCCCAATTCTTAGGAAAAGCTACACACCAACAACCACAATGGTTAACAGGGATTGGATGAAAAGAAGTACAGAGCTGATGCAGTTACAGTGTAATGCATCCAAGCCCTGAACACTCTTATGGAACAATGTCCTGCTGGTTCCCAAAGCGTGTTCAAGTTATCTATCCGACTGATCTTTACAGATTTTAAATTGTACCTTTAGAGTGTTACCTGACTTGAATTTTCAATGTTCTGATTTGGTTGTAAGTGCTGTCCTTCAGAAAGGTCCCTAAAGTCTGTCAGCTGGATCTGGATTGACATTTCCTATTCTCTTTGTCAGTAGAAGAAGTTGCCAACCTGGCCTCCCGCCGTCTGTCTGTGAGTCCATCCTGCACCTCCAGTACATCTCACAGGAACTATTCCTTCCGCCGTGGCTCTGTCTGGTCAGTGCGGTCAGCAGTCAGTGCAGAAGGTGGGTTGACTTGACTTTAGAGTCTCCTTTCCTAAGATTTTATTCACTGGAAACCTTTGCTGTTTATCCATAAAGATGTGGTGTTTCCTTTTGCCAAATATATTCCCAAGCTTGAGCCACTTTATAGTAAATTACTGCCCTGCACTATTTTATTCACCCCTGCTGTCACAATGTCTTCTCTTGCCTCTCATGTTCCATTTGGAGAGTAGTGCCACAGAGAGCTCTCTATCTAAAAACTGGTAATGAAAAGGGATTTCACCAAAAAGAACTGGGTTGCCTATGAGAAGAGAAATGTAAATTGAAAAATTATATAATTACAATGAAAAATCTTGATCAAGAAGTTGGCTGGCAGCTCAGTTTCTTCTTGGAGATAACAGTAAATCTGTTGTGCTTGCAAATGATGAGACAGCATATCAATTTGTTCTGTTTGTACAGCCCCTAACATAAATGATTATCTAATCTGCTTGGATAGTATCACAGCTTATTCCCTAACACTCCCTTTCCACTCTTCTTACTGCTCCAGATGAAGAACACACTACAGAGCACACTCCAAACCATCACGTGCCCCAACCACCTCAGGCTGTGTTTCCAGCATGCATCTGTGCAGCAGTGCTTCCCATTGTCCATTTGATGGAAGATGGAGAAGTCCGTGAGGATGGAGTAGCTGGTACTGACCTAGATTAAACTTCGAGGGATTCTTGTTCAGGAGTGGCAAAACCTGTTTGAAAACTATTAGAAAGTAGATTTACAACAGAAATGTGACTATGTAGGGGTTTTCCTTTTTTTTTCTTTCCATGTTTCTTGTTTGGTTTTGAGGGTTTTTTTTCTCATTTGAGGCCCGAAAAACCCTTCAATTCAGGAAAAATATTGAGAAGCTGAAAAGGTGGGAGGCATACCAGGATGGTAAGAGTCTTAACATAGATGTTCTGTGAGGAGTGATTGTAGAAGCTGGGCTTCCTTGGTGTGACCCAAGGAAACAGAGTTAGAGGAGCACTAACTTAGAGGTTACAACTTGGGAAGTTCAGGTTGGAAGCTGGGAAGGAACTTCATAACCAGGAGCATAGTGCAATTTCTGTTGGTTCTCCATGCACAGGGGTTATTGAGCCCTGGCTAGTCAAAGCCGTGGTTGACGTATTCTGGTGTAGGTGACAGTCCCACTCCAAGCATGGCTTGGACTAGAGAACTCCAGAGGTCTGTTCCCACCAACATTTCTTTGTTGTTATGACAAACAGAATACCACAACTTGAATATTTTGGTTATGGTCTGTGATGTATTTGTTTCTCTAAAATGTTAATACATGGTGGACTGTTGCCCTTCCATCATCTCTCATCACTTGTCATGTCAGCTAATTGCACATTTAATTTTATTCTACATTTTGTATTTAGTTTTGGGTGGATGTAGTCAGCCATCTAAATAATAAATGTGTCATTTTGTGATCAGCAGCTGAGTACTGCAAACAAAATAATGAATAATTCTCAGTTGTTGTTGTTAACCTTCACAGGATTGCAATTAATTGCGCTTTGGGGAGTTGCTCATCAACACAATTCTCTGCTGACTACCTAATACTCTTCACCAATACCAGACAAAATCATTTGATGAATCACCATGAAACCAAACTTCTATGCATGAACAGAAAAAGTACATGAATTTATCTGTTTCAATTGCCAGATTTTCTCTATCAGGAGTTATGAATCTAAATAGTTATTTCTTTATTACTCCTTGACTACAGTGGTGAAATTCTTCATGTCATATCACCAGTAGTTAGCTAAGGTTCACATATTAGACCTGTGATTATTATTATTGAGATTACTGCACTGGTGACCAGAAATCCTAGTGTATCAGAGAGGCTCTTGTATGTTTCAATAAAAAACATGACAGTTGGGGTAGAAGATTAGGAATGTTTTGTGCCTAAGTGTACCAGTTTGAGGCTTCTCTAAGGGAGATGGTTCTGACATTGTTTCCTTTCTGTCTTGCAGTAAGTGCTGTTGCTCAGCAGGTCCTGTGGAACTGCCTAATTGAAGACCCCTCTACAGTTTTGCGCCATTTCCTTGAGAAGCTCACAATCAGCAATCGACAGGTAACGTTGTTCCTCTCCCCAGCAGGTATATGAGCTTCTCAGAGCAGGGGATCACAGCTGCAAGCAGAATCACTCTGTGGACATCACTGGAGAAGAACATTTGCTATTATAATATAGCATATCATCATTTGGCTTCAGTCTTTGTCCACTGATGTAAATGGGACAAAGCTGATTTATCCCCACTAAGGATCTGACCTGCTCTAAGCCAAGCTTTGAACAACCCTTTTGTCTAACATAGGCAAATATTGCCTCCACTCAGGCTACTCTGTTCAGCTTTCTCTGAAAGACAGGGGTGGCCTGGCTTATTACACCACTTTCTAGTGCATGGCTAAGCTTTATGGAAGAGAGGCATACTGTTTCTGACTGGATGAGAGGCAGCGAGACTCTCCATACCATTTTCTCAACTGCACACTTGGTGTATAATAATATCACTGTCCTCATCTTTCAAGCCATCACCTAAGAACCTGACTACAAAATGAATATTAAACCTTGACAAAGGTCAGGAAAGGCTACCCTTTGGTTCCTTGAGTAATCAGGTTTTAGCGGCCTCACTATTCCTGAAATTTCTCAGTCATAGTCCACCATATTCTACTTCACAGAATGGTTTGGGCTGGAAAGGACCTTAAAGATCATGTAGTTCCAATCACCCCACCACAGGCAGGGGCACCTTCTACTATATTATGTAGCCCAAAAGCCCATCCAGGCTGGCCTTAAGCACTCCCATGGTGGGGCAGCCACAACTTCTCTGGGCAGAGAGGTTGTTTAAGTACCTTTGCAATGGAAGCTGCACATTGTCCAGCCTCAGAAGCCTGTCAGCTATTGCAGCCTGCTGTTTCACCATCTCTTCATAGGCCTACTGCAACCATCAGTAGAGAACACAGACAGCAGGTGTATTTCCTTGGAAGCTATCACCAGAAGTATCATTGGTACTGATTGTATATTCATGCCCTTAATACTAGCTCAAATCTGCTGTGGGTTTAGAAGATGAGGGCCATAGAAGACATTTTATGACACCATCTGTCTGTCGCTAGTTGACAATGAGATCCCATCCCCTCCACAGCCTTTCCCACCATAAGAAATGTATTAGTCTACATTTAAGGCAGGCAGCCTCTGAAGGAGGGAAAGTTAGATTCTGCCCAGACCTCCTACCCAGCAGCCACAGCTGTTGAGGTGAGCTGAACTGATTTCACAGATCATCTAGGTAGTCATCACAGGGATTATCACATGGATAGGAGTGCAGAATCAGGATGCTACCATCAGTACTAATTGCAACAGCAGATACTGGCCTGTCTGAGATATAAAAATAAAGGCACTGGCCTGGGTGCTGTGTCCTGGGCCTTATTTTGCAATATGTGGGAGCAGACACAGGAGTATAGTTCTGCTTCATGCACTGAGAGACAAAGCTGAACAAGAGAATATGGAAAAATGGGAAGAAACAAAACCAGAAAGTACAAAAGGAAGAAATCTATTCTGCATTTTTTTGATGGAAAGAAAAATAATTTACATTTCTTCCAGGATGAGCTGATGTATATGTTAAGGAAGCTTTTGTTGAACATTGGAGACTTTCCTGCCCAGACATCTCACATCCTCTTCAACTACTTGGTGAGTAGCTTGTGAGTCCACTGTGCAGCCTGGAATCTCTCCTCTGCCTGCATGTCTCCTAAAACGTTAATGTCACAGTCTGCAAGGAAATAAATGCACTTAGCTTTTCCTCACATCTGCTTCTGGCTGTGGGGGCAAGTCACCAGTTTACACCAGCCTTTCAGTCATTCTGAGGAGAGGGAAAAGAACATTTAATGTTTTATTAAACCTCTAAGCAACCTGTCATGGATTTCTGAATTGAACCACAGACAATGAGTTGTAGACCAGAAACCTTTAATTATCTTACTTAATTTTCATTCAGAAAGTGCTTTGCTCTTAGAGAGCTCCTATTGAAGCAAATCTAGCAGCTTCTTTCAAGACTGTAGCCAATGCATTTGCTACATGAAGCATGAAGATGAAGTAGACAAGATATATGGTACTCCAAGGAGCCTTCTGTTTTTTGTGTGGTGTCTACATGGCAGCCCACCAGAGCAGAAGGCATAGGAAGTCTCCTACTGCAGAAGTTCTCCCTTTTCCTCATTTACAATGGCTTTTAAGGCTGTGCTGCAGCAGTATTTTTTGCCCCAATCCTCATGCTCTCTAGAAAAAGGAAGACTAGTACTGGCAGATTGTTCCTCAGTAGGCATAAATTTTCAGGATGTAAGTCTAATGAGTTTATTCCTCTGAATGAAGAAAGGTAGAACAATGCTCTCATTCTGTGTTTATACAATGCTCTGCAGTTAAGAGTGTGTACAACCTGATGTTCCTTTTACTGATTACCTGCAGGTAGGACTGATCATGTATTTTGTACGGACTCCGTGTGAGTGGGGCATGGATGCCATTTCTGCCACACTCACCTTCCTTTGGGAAGTGGTGGGTTATGTTGAAGGACTCTTCTTCAAGGATCTCAAACAGACTATGAAGAAGGAACAATGCGAAGTGAAGCTGCTGGTGACTGCCTCGATGCCAGGTATAAGAAATGAGTCTTTAAATCTCCTTCACTTCCGAGTTCATGACCCTCCCTACCAAAAAGATCCACAAAAACTGGATCAGAAAAAGACCTCTTACAACTGGCTGCATATTCTCAGTCAGTTTTTCTTGACTTGAGTATTCAGTCAGTAAATTCTACTACTTATTCCTCGAGATTCAGAAAGCCACTTTAAGAGCTCTAAAAGAAGCAAAGAGAAAGGGTATTAGAACAGTCTTTTCAGCATAAACCTTTGTGCCAGCTGGGCTGTGAAAGGCTGGCAGGATGATCACTGTAAGACTGTTACCATTCAGATTCCGACCATCATGAGTCAGGCAAGAGATATCTTGCTGAAAAACGGATTTGACCTTTTACGTTTGTTCCTTCCTCAGAGTGACAGTTGCTGCTAAAGGCAGCTCATCCTTTAGGGAACAAATTGATTTCTCATTGACTGTGGAAGTATGAGACTATGCTAACACTACCCAATGCATTCCAGACAGGACTGGCATGGACTGTCTGCCTGCCCAGAAATGGATTTTAACTACCACTTTTCCTCCATGGGCAGTCTCTTGAAATTGAGTTAATTATAGAGGCCAGAGAGAATGCAACTCCTTTTCTTCCTTTAGGCACAAAAACCCTTGTTGTGCATGGACAGAATGAGTGTGACATCCCAACACAGTTACCAGTCCATGAGGACACACAGTTTGAGGCTCTTCTGAAGGTAGGAGTGAGTTTTTGAACTGGACAAACTGTTTAATAGTACACTTGCTTGGCATACCTGTATGTCAGCAATCCATTCTGCCTGATCATCCTGTTCTGGTGTTGGGAAGTTCTGCTGACGGGCATTTTTGCCTCCCTGTGAGGGGAGCTTGGTTGCAAGAAACAGGATCCCTTATGAAAGGATAATAGAAATGCTCTGAGCTCACAGCCAGCCAAAACATCACAAATTCAACTACATTTGAAGACACTGCAGCTTGTTGGGTATTTGCAGTATATCACCCTTTTAATAAATGCATCCATCATTTGAATGTTTGGTTTTATCTGAAGACAACAGAATGATCAAGAGTGAAAATGATGATTCAGTAGCCACAATGATATTCTGGGATCTGGGAGATGTGAGGTCACTTTCCCTTTCTGCCAAAGATTTCCTGGATGGTTTTAACTGAGCCACAAGGAAACAGGTTTTAAAAGCCTTCAGTTTGTCCAATTATGCCAAATTTTAATGAGAATCATGTCTCAGTGCTTTGAAGGATCAGAAATTCAGTGTCTCCGCACATCACCTATCACTAAAGCTTGATAAATATATAGTATGGAAATGGAAGCTGCAATACCCATGTGGCTCATACAGTCAGACAAATATGTGTGATATAATGACATCAAAATAAGTAACATCAGTCTTCAGGACTGTGATATCAGCATCCATTGATTATCACAAGCACATTCAGCTGCTTTATGATTAAAAAATAGATTTAGAACTAATGCTGGAAGAGTATACCAGCCTGACTGAGGTTTCTGCCTTCATACGTTATTAGCTGGATATTCTTCTTTGGGATGTTGTGGCCTTTGTACAAGACAATTATAAAGTAACAGGATGTTTTGATTTCTTCCTTTTCAGGAGTGTTTGGAGTTTTTTAACATACCTGAAACTCAGTCTTCTCATTATTTTTTAATGGATAAGCGTTGGAATCTCATTCATTACAACAAGGTAAGGCAGAGGTCAGGTCCAGATGGCTTTGTTCCTTCTTAAACGTCAGGGTTATCCAAAGGGGTAAATGTGCTGCATAAATAGACAGTTCTGTCCTGTGAGCACCACATCCTGGGTGTTTAATTGTGTGTGGTGATTGAAATTTGACAGGAGAGAGAAGAGGCAGAAGAGGAGTACCTGGCTCTTAGGTCATTCATGTCTAGTTTTCTTAGAAAAAGAGCACGTTTCTCCTCTGATTACACTGTCTGAAAGCCCCTGCCCTTCAGAAAGGGCTAAAGGGCCTTTTATTCTGTTCTACTGAATGATGCTGTTACAGCTACATTTGTTTAAAATACACTTTTCTCCTTTCCTGGCAGACATATGTCCGTGACATTTATCCTTTCCGGAGGTCAGTTTCTCCCCAGCTCAACCTGGTGCAGATGCATCCAGAAAAGGGTCAAGAGCTCATTCAGAAGCAGGTATCCTACTGTCACCAAACACCTCTGCCCAGAAAAAAACCCTGTAAATAAACCATTATTTTCCTTTAAAGGCCTTCACTCATGCTGTGTGCAGACTGAGAGCTTTGCTGGAGAAGCAGTAATGGTCAGGAAATCTGCCTTGGGGCCATATACAGTGTATAGTATTTTAAGCAGAGTCAAATATTGGGATATGAATTCCCCCCTGCTCTCTCTAGCCAGTTTCCTTTAGGTGCATCACTTTGCATTCTCCTGTACTTGGCCAGAAGAACTTCAGTTGCCTCAGCTTCCGAAGTTGCTTATTCCTTTCTTTAAGGTGACCTCTGGCTGGGGAACAGGAATTATTTGTTCTGCCTTTTTCTCTGTAGGGAATGTTACCTGCCTCTCTTCCTTGTCCTGCTCTCAGATGGTAGTCTTTATCACAGCTACTCCCAGAGGCACACCAGTAGCAGCTCTGGTCAGGGGAATATCTGCCCTCTGAAGAGCACTGTCCTCCCTATGTTCCAGCCTCATGACCTGATAATCTGTCCTGCTGATGTTCTACGGTTCCCAGGAGCTCTCCCTTAGGCATGGTACCCTAACTAAAGTGTCAAGGCAGTGCCCTCAATATCCTGCAAACCACATCTCTTTATGCAGTGAGTCAATGGTATTGAGCTCATGCTACCTGTAGAAGTCACATGCTCTGTTCTCCACAAAACCAGAATTGTCTCAGTAGCACAGAGTTGAGTGTTTAGGGAAAAATTGTTCTAGGTGTATCTGCAGAGTTTGACAACAATCAGGAAATAAAAAAGGGAGTGGGGGCATCTGGTTAAACAGTACTGAAGATACTGTAGTTGTATCCCTAGCAGTGAGAGCATAGAAAAATATCATCAGGAATGGTTACAAAAAGCAGCTATCAAGCTGCTGAAGAGCTACTAGCAGCTTAAATAATGGAAAATATAGTTAATACTGTCTCATATGTGTATGCTATAGAATAGGGAAATATTTTGTGTACTGCATCTGCCATTAAAAAGTCAATAAAAATCTAAAATTATGTGGGATCATTTTGATTGGTTCTCTAATAGAAATTATTCACACTGATTCTAGGAGATGTGTCCTACAGATAAGTGAGTTTGACACATCCTACATGATCCAAAAAGATATAAATGGCTTGTCCAGTTTTGTCAGGGCATTATTTTGCTTTCCACATTTTTCTGTTTAGAGCACTTAGAGCCCAAAATATTTCTAAGGTAAAACTTGTATCAAGCACCTACCAGCCTCTCTGTAGTCGTGCCAGATGTTGCTGGAAAACATCCAGCTTCAGCAAAGAAGGCAGCACTGTAGAGACTACCCACAGAGCAGCAATCCATGGAAAAGTACTTTCTTTACTGTTGATTGATTGAGCACCCAATTCTGAGCTGAGTGCACTTCAGAGCAAGGTCACAGCAAGGCAGGACATGTGGAGCTGAGCTTTATCACATGTTAAGCCACATGCTTCAAGTTTTGGCTTTGTCCCAGTAGCTAAGAGCTGTCTCAAAACTGCTTCCAAAGACCGTTACTTCTATTAACTAAGCATCACTCTGCCTTATGGTTACTTTCAGCATCAAAATAGAATAGCAAACCTGAGAAGTCCTAGCACTAAAAATTTCAAAGGATGGTGGTGTAATGGAACTTGGTTTCCCAGTTGGTGTAAACCAGAAGTGATAATTGGAAATCAAGCAGAACTTTGCTCCTTCCGGTAACACAGAGTCTAGTCTCTTTTGGTTTATTGACTGCTTTTCTTTTGCAACTGTACACACAGTTACTATGGCCAGACATGAGCCAACTTCACCCCAAGAGGCAGATAACAATTCCAACCTCATGTTGACTATAGTCTAAGACCTTGCAGAGAGCAACTACAACCATCTGCCTTTCAGTTTGGAGCTGGTAAAGCTTACACACTGGCAAAGCTCACATTAATCTACAGAAGACCACATGGCACAGTGGCAAAGTGTTTGACAGCCACTCAGGGTCCTCCAGAAGTCTGAAATAGAAAATGTTGTTAGAACATCTTTTACAAACATGATCCATCTTTGCAGAGCCAGGCTGGAGAACAGTGGTCACACAAATC